CGGGATCCTCACATCTTCGACAGGAAATTCTACTTCACAACGATGGCAAATTTACAAACCACACTTGAACAATAAAAATTTGAAATTGTTACTCGGTCAGAAAACCCTTCAACTTCCAAATGTCCTTTCCTTTTTATAAAAACTGGCCCATTTAGAACTTATTAGGTTTGTTAAAATGATGTTTTGCTTTTTAGAGATAATCCCTGTCATAGGAATGTGGAATATATACACCAAAGGCTGAGGGCCACCAGCGGAACTAAAGTGTTTCGTTATTCAAATGACGGTGGAACCTTGAACTTGTTATCCTAAAATTTAAGCAGATAGTTTGGTCCTTAGTGAGAATTCCCCGTAAATCGTTGGAGAATTCTTTTCATACGCCGGCAATGTTATCGCTCTGCAAATGGGGTGGGGTAGACCGTGCACAGATCATTGTCGGGCTCACAACCTGCCTGAGAACGAGGTGGGCCAGAAGGCAACAGCAGAGCAAGAGGGTTGGTGAACAATTTAATTTTTTGGCGAATAATCTCCTAATTTGTGTGGCATTTATCTGAGTAGCCGTGTGTCTTCCCACTTGCGAAACAGATTCTGTTAGGAACTAATATGGCGAAAAACTGAGTCTACAACTTTTGTTAAATTAATTCCACATTGTGTTTTTAACGAGCGGATGTCTGTTTGCGGTAAGCTCCATGGCTTAAGACACAGCGACCCATTTAATAGAAGCTTTCCACTAAAACGCAACGTGCAAAGGGTCTAAATGTCATGCCATCGAAAGAGCGAACAGGTCGGAGCATCATCATGCACGACCACAACCACCCGCCACAAGCTTCGCTCCGACATATTCAGTTGCCTCGGCATCGGACACCCCAATACATACACCACAGTTGGGGCCCACATTGGGCCAATGTGGCTGGAACTCTTGATTCCACGTTTACTGGGCCATAAGTCCGAAAGCTTCTGTGGGAATTAACGAGGATCGCCGGCCACATTTGAGCCGAGGCGAGGGCTGCTCTCTGCGCGGCTACCGAATTGAGAGACAACTCAAGACCCGTGGGTGGGGGCCCCCCTGGCGATCGCGAAGAGCTGCAGTCTGGCCACCACAAAACCCTAACGCAGCGTTCAAAAGTCAGCAGACAGGTATTCCGCAAACACGACAAAACAGGGGACGAGGGAAAAAGGACCGTGGCCTGACATCGGAGGGGTGGTGCTATGCCGAAGTTACTTTCGTGACACTGCATTGCCAGTGGTACCAAAAAAGCACAAACAACACAACCCACGCTCGTGAGCAACACTGTGGCCTCAAAAGGAACCGGTGTCTTCGATTGGTGGCATGTTGGATGCCGGCCCTTCGTGCACTACGCGGAAGGGGCAACTGCCCAAAACATCACCAATTATATACTCCTGCTTTTAAGGCAGTGTTATTTACAGGCGTAATTGAGTTTTTCTGCTATTACTAAGGGTGAATGTACAGATAAACGTACATTAAAGCAATGCCAAATTGCATTTCAAAAGATTAACTGTACTCTGTATAATTTTTTAAAATTTACTTTTGAAAATCGCAGTGTTTTAACAGAAACGTTGAAAAATCCACAAACATCTGCGGAAAATGAAGAGAAATCCCATCGTATAGTAATGTGGGCAAGACGGCATGACATGGCTGGATCCCATTGCCGGCCACTCCTCTCCACACACGGCGAGAGGGACCGCCTGTGACGGTCCCTGCGGCCGTGCTTGTCCCGCAGCCCTCCCCGTGTGTGGGTTTCCGAGCGGCACCACGTGCGTTATGTCCGGCACGGCGTTCCGCCGACGTTTCTGCCCGAAGTGCCCCAGGGGAAGCTTCTTCATAAACGCAACGCTGAAGAGGCCCGCCGGCACGCGTGGAGTGATACCTCCGAACTCCGTGTTCAAATAACACGCGGCACGGCCGGAACCGCATCGGAGACACAACTTGCCTGATTACGAAAAGTAGCAACGCGTGTGCGGTGAACAGCCGATTTAAGGAGCGCAAAAAAAAACCTTATTCCAGGTGGAATAAAAATGTTGGGACGCTGAAGGAATGAGGCTCACAGTCCAGCTTGCACTTCAAAAACATGCACAAAAAATGAGGACATCATCAAGGACAAGCCACTGCTATCTTTGTCAGGCCACAAGACTTCTCCATCGCCCCCCTCCCACGCCGCCGCCCCCCTCCTACTTAAACATCACCGCACACACTCAAGAAACACAAGGACACAAGGGGACGCTACGGCACATGTCAAAGGTGAGAGGTCGCCAAGCGCGCCCTCTCTCAGTTCACTCGCAGGACCTTCGTGTGGAACCGGAGGGTAATGCTCGGTTGAAGGTGAAATCCGTGCGTGGGGGTGGGCGGAGAAGGGGGGGGGGCGACCGTGTTGTCGCCAAACGCCGGCGACCGTGCGAGACAAGGGGCGTGGGGGGCACAGCCGTTGTTGGACATCGCGGCTCGGGCGGGAGCTCGAGCGCGGCGAAAGAAAACAGGTTTTTTTTTTCGACATGCAAGAAAAACGAGGAATAGGTGCAAACGTGGTCCCCAAAGTTTAAGACAGAGGATAGATTAAAATGTTACGTGGTAGCTAAGCTACAATAAGGTTAAATTAAAGCAGCGGTTTTAATGCTAGATTTTTTTTTGGTATAAAAAATTATAATTACAATTTTGGTCAGTTGTTTCAAAACTACTTTTTTCGTCTGTTGTGATAGAAATTTGGCTTTAAAAAAAATTGTCACGTGCGTACATTTTAAATGCTATGTTTAAAACTGCCTTTCGCATAAACACAACTTTCTCTTTAAACGTTATATAATATATATAATGTATGGCTGACTCTATAGAATGAGGTCAAGGCCAAACCAAACCTGACATCAAGGCCCGAGCAAGTTTTTTAAAAAACATTCACACAAATGCCACGACAAAAGTTGGCATCAAGCATCTGTACAACAGTAACCGAAACATTAAAAAAAACAACTCTACAAAAATTTAAAATTAACGACAGGGGCATGGCACTACAAGGAAAATAAATATCGTGCAGAGGAATTACATGCCACGGGTGTGGGAATTTTGGTAAAAAATTGTCTCATCGCTGTTATACAAACCAACAATAAATCCCATTCATTTTGGGGATTCGGCACAAGCACATTGGAAACACGTGCCCCCCCCCACCCCCCCAATTCATCCGTCGGCATGAGGGGGGCATCTTCCCGTTTCGTTTGGCAGAAGAACCGCGCCCCTCCCCCTTCCCCCACTTGAAGATTTTCGACGTGAATATGAAAGTGGCGGTGGTGGCACGCTCTCTGTTTGGGAGGGGGTGGTGGTGTTGGTGGTGGCGCCTGACCATGCCTACTATCTCATTTCATCCGAGACGAATGTTCGGGGGGGGAAGATGTCCCGGAGGCCGCACAGACGTCACTTTGACCGCCCACTGTGACCCAGCCTCAACCTGGCACGGTGGCTGGGCCCATGCGCCGAGCCGGCGCGCGTTGACGATTCGCACTCGCACGAGTACGGGCCGACAGATCGCACCGGCTAGAAGGAGCTGAACGTCGGGACGAGAAACACACGTACATAGTAAACACACCCAAACCCCGGGATGAGTTGCGTTGGTAAAACTGTAGGATTTCGGATTTTAAAGGACGATTTTGGGCCTTTTTGAGATTTACGAATCATTTCCATAACGTAAGGAAGTCAACGGTGCCGTTGTGCCAGCCGGCGTCGCCCGATGCCAGGTGACGTGACATTTGGTGGGAGAGTCATAACACACGTCACGGCATTTCCCATCGCACGCCCTTTAGGTTTGGATCCAAAACTTTTCTTTTCAGAATTTTCAGAGGCGCAATTCGCGAATTTGTCAGATTAATCCCAAAAAATTGGCAACACACATCTCGAATGTACACATACGTGCAATAAACACACACATGCACACATAAATACGACCTCCTCTTTAGCCTGACAAGCCACAACGGCAAGCGCTGTGGTGAGCATCTGGTAAGGGCGGCACGGCTCACGAGGGTGACGTGTGATCAACGCCAGGCCGGGCTGCCTTTGTCACCTGCTAATGTTCATCAACCACACTGGGTGCTCAAGGTCGAGTCGACCGAGGGAGCGGGACCAGGACCGGTTCAGATACCAATTGCCATCAGTGTCAGTCATGACCGGGGGTTGAACCCAGGTTTCCAAGATCATAGCGCAAAGCGTCAGCCGCTGAGACGCACGCACACATCCACAGACGCGGATGTATTTTGAACTTCTTTCGCACCGTATGTATCCAACCAAGCTTAATCGGAGGTGCGTAACGCATACGCATACACTCGCCTACATCGATACACACGCACACAAACAACACAGAAGCACACTTCCCGAGTCTGTTCCAGCGGCCGGGCTAAGACGACAAAGTTAGTGACGCCGTTCCTGAACGTGCAAGTTTCGGGGACTCTTCAGGTCTGACGTTCGCAATCGAGCATAACACACCCCCCCCCCTCCCTCCCCCTTCTGCATCAGGTGGTGGGGGTTCTGTTTGGCTTGGCCGACGCTCATTAAAACCATCGTAGGAAAACAACAACAACGACAACGACGACAACAACGGGCTTCAGTTTCACGACAGAGACGAGTCGAGGGCATACTGCATTCACACGTCTGGATTGGCAGAGGGAGTTGTGTATCATAAGGCACTTTGGTTCTTTAAAAGTCGAAACCAAATGTAGTCAGGACAGGGGGCGGCGGCGGTGGGGGGTGTGGGAGGGAACCTCGAAATACAACTTCCTTCTACAATACTGGAGGTCACGATTGTACGAGCGGCACCTCCATGGGGTGTGGGGGGGGGGGCAGGGGGGATGGAGGGAGGGGGGGCACTCGCTCTCCGACCGCCGCCGCTTCGCTTCCCCTCCGACCTCCCACGGCGGAGGAGCCCCTCGACGGGACGAAAACGACGCGGATCCCTCAGCAGCAGCCGAGGCGTCGACGGGGGACCGAGCTCCCAGAGGGGGGGGGGGGGGGGGGGGGGGGGGCCCGACGGTGCCACCAACCGGCCCGGAGCACCGACGACACTGGCCGTCCCGACGCCGCCGTTTACAAAATCTGCGGTGCGGCGTTTGTAAAGATTTTTCCGCGGGAGGGCGGGAAAACACGGACTGGATTTCTCTTTTTACCCTTTCCAGAATGTATATACTGAATTTATATACAAACATATATAAATACACACATAAATACTTATATATACACACGCGCGCGCGGACATGTTTGCATTTACATCTAAATACAACATATATATACGCACACACAGTAAATACTAATATACATGTATACTGCACGTATATATGCACACTGAGGTCACCGCGAAGCGACGGCGCCGACGCCGCCACCGCCGCTACGGATACGACGCGGCGAGTCTTACGATGGTCGCCAGCCCACCACCACCATCCCCCCAACTCCCTCCCGCCGCCACTGCCACCACCTCGACTCTATGCGATACGGCTCGGGATGTCTGGCTAGTGAGGGTGGTGGGGTGGGGGCTCAGAAGCGGCCGGGTTTAGCCGTTGAGGCCGTCGGGAAAGGACTCGTCGATGAACAACGCCGATGGGCTGCTGGGGTACGGCACGATGACCGACTCGCGTGCCAGCAGCAGCGCCTGGTCCTGGTTGGCCAGCACCTTCATCACTTTGCTCAGGCAGTTCTCCGGGATTTTGATTCCTGGGGGGGGGAAGGGGGAACGGATGGCCGTGGTAGAAGAGGAGGTGGGGATGGGGAGGCGATGATGGTGACGGAGAGAGGGGGGTTACGCGTGGAAAACTTTTTAAAAAGTTGACATTGTTATTATTCTTTTAAACCCTACATTACATTCCAACATCCATCTGCATGGCCACTGCAAACACAAAAAAGTGAAAGTCAAGAAGGGGCTGGGAGTTAGTACACTTTAGTTAGGAAGCCCGACTCGCAAGAAGTCTTCATCGGGAATGACGCTCGGGACGCGTTGGTGAATGTGCCGACCGCGTAACGGTGCGCTTCTCCCATCGCTCAGTGGGCCCTCTCCACCCCTCTGGTTGGTTTTTCCCTTTCTGGTGTTTGCAGAACTGCGGTTGGGGCTTTAAGACTCTCAGTTGTGAGCCGTCATGAGTTCAACTCCCAGCTCGGAGACACCAAGCAACCCGTTGTCCCACGGGGTTGATAACAAAGACGATCACATTGCGGGAAGTCAAAAGCAGTTCTTTCCTGCAGCAAGACTTCGACCCGAGCAACGTGCATTTTAATTCTAGATTTGAAGCTTTCGTGACTGCAAGGATTCATACTCTTAGTTTTTTCGGGGATGTCACGTAGGTAAAAAACGAAATTAAAATATTTTATTATTATTAATTTTTATTTCATTTTTTTACCTATGTGACTTTACTGAAAAAACTAAGAGTGTGAATATTAATACCGCTGGCCGGCACGTCACCGGTTGATGTGCATGTTGAACTTATTTCGTGTAATACGTCGCAAACCGTGCTAATCGGAGGTGCGGAAGGCCAACAAACTAAACGCAAAAAGAACCCCTGATGGGGTCTTGCGGAGCTCCAAAAAAACAAGCCGCCCCCGAGCGGGGGACGCTCAGAACCTCGTACGACCGCAAACACTCCCGGGGTGGCAAGAGGAGCCCAGCGCCATCTCCGGGGGCGTCCGCGCAAAACGATGCACCACACCAACGACTCCTTTTCCTCCCTTCCCCCCCCGTGAGCCGCCGGCGGTGGCGGCGCCTCTCACTCACCAACTTGCCGCCGCTTGTCCTTGGTCTGCAGCCGCACGATCTGCATGCTGGTGGAGTTGGTGACCTGCTGGATGGCGTCCTCCACCCCGCGCCACACGCTCAGCAGCGTGCCGCAGAGCACGTGGTGCAAGCACAGGCGGCCGCCGTGCGAGCACGAGCCGAGCGCCGCCACGTTACGGCAGCGGCCGCTCCTGCGTCGGGGGGTGGAAAAAACAACGAGCGGAGCGGCGTTACGAAGATGAGCTCGTCGCACGCCTCCAGATTCGCACGGTTGGCTACGTACACGGTGCCAAAGAGGTTCAATATACGAACGTGCGTTCGTATTTTTTGTTCTCAACGCAGCAGGGAACACTGGGTGATAACTGCAGCCGCCACACGTTTGGGATTTTCTCTAGGTATTCCGGTTTTCTCCCACTCGTCAATTGGCCGATAAACACCTCAATACACAGAGGACCGCAGGGCTTGGGCAATTGCTGGTAGCGCCGGCTCCTCACCGCGTGGCTGCTACTGCCTTCCCGCTCACCTGTGGTCCCGCCTCAGAGTCGTTCTCTCTCTCTCTACCAGAGCGAGCAGACGCTGTACGGTGCCCCTTTATAAGTTGAAATTATTATTATGATAATCTTAGAGTACTCTGGCCACCACTCCCCTCCCATCGCGAGATGTAAGAGGAATGAACTGGTAGAGGTACGCGATCGAGGTTACCCACACTTTGCCCCACCACGATCATGAGATTATCCCCTCCCACCGTCCCCATCTTTCCACTGACCAGAAGGCGTGGCTGCAACTGTCAAACGACCAGTCGTACTGGTACTTCCAGACATCCTCCGCCTCCTCTTCCGTGACCTGAAGGGGGAGATTGGAAATGCGCCGAGTGAGGAGAAATGCTTCCCCTGTGCCGCTTTCACTGCAGCCAAGAACCACTCAGGAATAAGTAATGTAATAACACACGTGCAGCACCGCACATTCAATTGTTTGCATTTTTCCAACCATAGGTTGCGAGCGAATTAGCTGTGTCCGCCTGTCCATCTGTCGCGGGGAATACCCCCACAATAACTCGTGTAAAGCCGATTCACTACGAACACAATTATGATGTATTTTATATTGCTATTAGAAACTTAGCCCGTATAAAACCGGCCAAATTTAACAGTTTCCCAAAACTGGGCATCAAAAAAACTGCCGCTGCGAGGATTTTCCTGGCAGGCCAAGGCGATGGCGTCACACGTCGAGGGCAATGTGGCCGCAGAACTTAGGAATGTAACATTATCACTAACAGTGCTTCAGAATTAACATTGGGCGTGCGAGTAACATTGCTCCCACGTGGTCTGCGCCCTCCTTTAAAATAAGAGCGCGCAGAGCGTAACATCGGACGTCGTGCCTAACATCACGCGGCACGACCTAAAAACTAAAAATATTTTTTTTTTACCAGGTAAGGCCCACTGAGCTGTATAGCTTTTTCAGAAGCGACCTGGCCACAAAAAATGATAGCTCAATCAAGTGGCTTATCACGTGGGAATTTCTAGTAACCGAACACTCTAAATGCACGTTCATTATAAATGGAGGGAAAAACCAGACGACCCGGTGGAAAGCTCCACGCGACCACGGGGAGAGAGACACGCAAATTCCAAATACACAGGCGTCAAGAGTCGGGATCGAACCCACGATCTCCTGCATCCTCGGCGAGGGAGATCACATCTCCACCGCTACCTTGTCGTATTTCCTGCTGAGGTCCCGGAGCTCCTCCTGGTGACGCTGCTTCCCCGTGTTTGGTCGGTAGATGGCGAACAGCTTCTTCTCCTTGTCAAACTCCTCGGCGAGGATCGCCATTTGCCGGCCCGAGCGCATCTGTGGATCCACCGACGAGAGTGGGGAGGGTGTCACAACAAATCCCTTAACCTCCCACCCCCGCCCCTGTCGACATTGGGAGGGCGGCCGCCGACCAGTCGCGCAAGGGTGGAACGTCTCAGTCAGAATATGTATTCAATCTGGAGAAATCCGATGAGCTGTAAGGATTTTTTTTCACAGGGCGGGTCAGAACGTTACACCAACAAACAATAATACAACCACAATAGGAGTGCAACGTGGAGGAATGGTAAACAAAATCACTTAAACAAATATACAAAAAAATGTAGTTTACCAGGTAAGGCCCACTGAGCTATTAGCTAATTTTCAGAGGCGACAAATTGGCCACAAGTGATAGCTCAGCAAAGTGGTTTATCATGTGGAAATATACAGCAGCAAAACAATCTACATAATCTAAAGGCATGTTTATAGAGGGGACACGTGGGAAGAGCGCCGAGCGAAAGCTACAGACAGGGACGAGTGGAGGCAGCGGGCAGCCCGAGGCGTCAGTGATGCAAGACGGACCCGAGTGTGAAGTACTGATGTTACGTACGTAGAACTTCTTTCGCACCGTACGTAGCCAACCGTGCTAATCGGGGGTGTGGAATGAAATGCATCTCGATTGTTTTTTGCTAAATCGCAACAGGTGGTGAGCGATGGTTTGGGTGCTCGACTGGCAGCTGGAAAAGCCATGAGGTCATTTGTTTTCATTGGAGAATAATTCCAAAAACAACTGAAACTAAAGGGGCGAAATGACTGTGGGCAGTTCGGCTAAACAGCCAACGCACACGCATCGTACTGCAATGCCTAAAATTAGATCACACTGCCGCTATTTCTGCTATTAGACACGTGACACTTTTGTAGAAATTAATCTTAATATTTTACGAAATCTAATTACGTCACTTTAAAAATGCCATCTATAGAGGGGCTACACGCAGTGCCGGATTAAGCTAGTGCGGGGCCTGTAGCATATGTTATAAAGAGGCCCTAAATAAAAAATAAATATGAAAACACAAATTGTTTACTTGCATAGTAAAGTAATTGTATTTTTGCAATTGCTATACAGCCAGATAATACGACTAAGTTATTTTATTTCAGTTTTTCTCCTGTCATCGGAAGAAAAAGTGATGACGTACACATGCGTACGAAGCGGTTCAGACTCCACCCCTGGATTTACCAGTTTCATGACGTAGAATCCGTCGTTCAGTCCAGTCATCTTTTTGCTCCTTTCCAACGCGTCGTTCCAGCTAATTCCTCGGTCGACCTTCACCTGCACGCGCGGGGGGGGGGGGGGGTAAACGCAAGCAACAGGTGAGACTCGATCGCAATGCCGCGCAAATGCTCTCCGCCTAGCGACCGTCCAACGCATGGCGAAAATCATTCCTATGCCACGTGCGGCGCTGGGTCCACCTCTCACGTAAGGTGAAAGGGAAATGCGTAGGCATTCAACACCTTCACTCGCGTCACCGCCGGCAGAAAGGCCTCTACTAGAGGGAGCTCTAGAGGACGACAGAGAGCCCCATCTGGAGGGGATTTCGGTCTACCCTTCCGCACTGGTTATGATGTCTTGGAAGAGGTGGGCGTACCCACATTTGACCCCACCACACGTGACCCGCCAACCGCCAACGGGCTGCAGTGCGCCGATGCATACCGCCGGGCGGACAGAGGCACGGGGATTTAATAGAGTTGCCCCGTTGTTTCAATCATCGTTTCGACGTATCAAAACGGGCGCCCTCAGGATTGCAAGCCCCCGGCGTGCTGCACCACCACTGCGGCAGCGTCCCATCCGCAGCGCTGCCCCCAAATTCAACGCGAGGACTCGTCGACAGAACACAATGGGAAATTCGTTTCACTAACGGCGATCTTAATCCTGCCTCTTGCGTCTCGCCGTCGCCCTGCCGCCTCTCGGAGAGTTTCTCGCATCGTCCGCCGAGCCACGCGAGTCAGATCGCCTCTTTTGATTCTCGCACTGCGTTTCCTTTGGCGCCCCCATGAGGCTGCGCAATGGCGCTTTGGGGGTCTTCCCATCCCTAACGCCGCACGCGGCCCAACTCTGGAATTAAATCGGCCTCCTCTCTCTGCACGTACGGTTATAACCTGCGGTCTCTTTTAAGTGTGAAATCAGTCGCTCATCACACTCAGAAGCGCATGAGCGATGGAGATTAGGTTCATCACGGCCTCGACCTTGGCAACTTCAAGTAAAAAACATTCGCCAATAAAATTCCTTTTCAAGTGAGCTAATTGAGCTATGAAGGTGAAAGTATTTATAGAAGCATTATATAACGAGCGGAGGTGGAGGTTCTTGTCGACAATGGACGGAATCGTGATGGTCATCATGATGAATGACGAAGCGTCACGACTAGAGTAGTACGACAACAATGTGATGGCGATGGCGGTACAGACGATGACCGAATATGACGACACTGATAATCATGACACCGACAATGACGACCGCGTTGATGCTGCTGCTGCGGCAATGCCTTCCCCGTCTCTCTACGCGCGACGCGACTCGCGCCGTGACCCCCACGTGACCCCCACGTGACCCCCACGTGACCCCCACGTGACCCCCACGTGACCCCCACGTGACCCCCACGTGACCCCCACGTGACCCCCACGTGACCTTACCGTGTAGAGCACCACCTGCCCACTGCCCATGGACGAGGGGATCTTGAACGTGTGCTTCTTCTCCTCGTTGATCTCCTCCACGCCGGGCGCGAGGTCTGCGTGGCGCAAAGGGTGGACAGGAACCACACCGCAAATTTCTTACACGCCAATCTTTTCTTCTTGAGATTTCTTCCGCCTTTGATCAGCCCACTTTTCTTTCCACTCTCTCCGACCTCGGCATCTCTGGCACTCCCCTCTCGCACTTCCTGCGTCTCCTTCAACCGCTCCATATCCCCCTCCCTCCCCTCCCTCTCAGTGTCGATGTTCTGCAGGGGTCGGATCTGGGTCCCGAACTATTCTCTCTCTCGATATTTCGCCTCTTGAATCTATTTTCACCTCTTTCCTCATCATTCTTTTGCCGATGACACACAAATCTTTCCGTCTTACTCCTGACCTTTCCTCTTGCATCTCCTCCTCCTGTCTGGCTGCCATCCAATCCTGGATTGCGCTTCTCTCAATCTATCCAAAACATCATTCATTTTCTTTCCGGCCTCTCCCTCTCCTCCTCCTGTTGCCACTACCTCCTTCCATTCCCTCTTTCTCTCTCCCTCACTCCTGCTTCCTCTGCCCTCAATCTTGGTGTCCCCTTTGACTCTTCCCTCACTTACACCCCAAACCACATCTCCAAACTCGCGATTCATGCTCCGATCTTTACCCGGCCTGGACTACTGAAATTCTCTTCTTCTCAGTCTCCCCACCTCTGCTCTCACTCCCCTCCAACAAACTCAAAATGCTTCCGCGCGGGTCATTTTCAACCTCCCATTTAACTCTCAAACTTCGCCTCTCCTCCGTCAACTCCACTGGCTTCCCATTCGCTGCACCGCTGGCTTTTCAAATACCTCGTCTTTAAATCTCTCCATGGCCTTGCCCTACCTCAGCTCGCCTCTCTCATCTCCTTCCACGTCCCCATTCACCTCGTCCTCTTCGTTCCCAATCTTCTCTCTCCCTGTCCCTCCTCCCTGTGTCCAATCCTATTTCCGTTCCTTCTCCATCCTTGAACCCTCCACTGGAATCAACGTCCCCTGTACGTTGAGACAGTCCCGTTCCTAAACCTCCTTCTGTTCCGCTCATACAGCGCACCTCTTCTCTGTTGCCCATTCTCTTCCTCTTCTCTCCCCTCACCCCTCCACTCCTTCCCATCCCTCCCTTCCCCTTTGGTGATCCCCTAATTACCCCTCTATTGCTACCGTCACTCATTCCTCAATCTCCGCACGCCCCCTGCCATCTAAAGCATTCTTCTGTCACAGTTGTTTTTTTCCAAACTACGTCAAGCGCTCTATAAATATGATATTAAATTAGACATTGTATTTGGGGTTTTTTTGTTTTTAGGTGTGAGGGGGGAAAAACGTAGAACCCATGGGAAAGCCACGCAGAACTGGGGGAGAACGTACACACCATGCATGCGGAAAGGCACACCCAGAGGAGACGCACGCATCACTTTTGTGGCGCGGTTCAGAGCCGCCGATCCACAATCAGCAAATGGAACTGCTTCCAAGCCCGAATTTGTATCAGAGTTGTGTGATCAGTGTCACGCCAGGAGTATTCATCTGCCAGTAAGGAGGGGGGGGGGGGGTCGGCGATTGGTGCTGTGTAAAATTCCCAACTGAGCAATTTGCGGTGTGACAGTCAAATTTTTAATCCGACTCGGCCACACGATGGGCCGCACTTCCAAATGACGTCGGGGGATCTCCAACGTCCCCTTTGAAGCAGACGGTGGAGCGTTGAATTATTACGGTTAATACAACACGCCACAGTAATTGTGATATGAAACGTGCGTTTAGAGTAATTGGCTGATATAAATGTCCACATGTTAAGCCACTCCATCGCCAGGTCGCTTTTGAAAAAGAGCTCAGTGGGCGTGACCCGGTAAAGTAAAGAATCGTAAGAAATCGAAATTGAGTGCTCTGACCATAGCCCAGGGTTGTACATAAGTATGTATAACTCCTTTCGTACTGATGTTGTCAACTACCTCGCCTGGTATGCAGGAGGTCGTGGGTTTGATCCCGACCGTGATGCCTGTTGCATTATTGGAGTTTGCATGTTCTCTCCCCAGGACCTCTGGTTTTCCCTGCTGCTATGAATTCCCACGTGATAAGCCACTTGCTTGAGCTATCATTTGCAGCCCAGTGGAGGCCTTATCTGGTGACATAAAAACACTGCAGTTGAGTTTAACATCGCAACACGTGACAGTGGGGGGCCTTACCCAAAATCCCCATGTCGTATTTCCCCTCCTTCTTGGCCGCGTCGATGGTGACCTCAAACGTTTCGATGAAGTACTGGAAGATGGCGTTCTGCTTCGTCACCTCCATGCCCAGAATCCGGTTGAGGAACTTTGCGAGGCCCAGCTCTGCTTTGTTTGACAGTGGCCGCGGGCGGAAACAGCAAAACAATAATACACGCACGTTTCAACACGCCGCGCGATCCTCACCGCATCTTCAAATCTGTCAAGAAGGGGGGGGGGAGGGGGTACTAGTTGAAGAAGAGCTACAAAGGAAAGTAGGAGCAGACCCAAAAGTACCTTGATTCGGTCCCAACTGCACGCCATTGTGCGAGTACTGGTTCATGCCTGCATGAGAGAGGGGCGAAGGCACTGCATCAGCATTGCCACTCGGAGGAAACTGCAGTAGGGGGGGATGACGGAGGAGTGAAAACTCGGTTTCGCGACAGTCGCCGTTTCCGCCGGTAAAAAGTCAAAGCCTCTCGCTCGAGATGAATGAAGGAAACATTCAGCATCATCAGCGCCATCGTCGTCATCATCATCCCTGCCGCCACCATCATCGCCAGAGGCAACGAGAAATGCGGAGTCTTTATTTAATGACTTTAGGGTGATTATGGGGCCAAAATGAATGACTCAATGATATCCTACTTGCATTTTACCCCCAAGCACTCAGCTGAGAATTTGGCTGAAATGGGCACATTGCGGAGAGTGACTCTACTGACTCACCCACAGGGACAGCGTCTCTACTGATTCACCCACAGGGAACAGTGTCTCTACTGACTCACCCACAGGGATAGCGTCTCTACTGACTCACCCACAGGGACAGCGTCTCCACTGACTCACCCACAGGGACAGCGTCTCCACTGACTCACCCACAGGGACAGAGTCTCTACTGACTCACCCACAGGGGACAGAGTCTCTACTGACTCACCCACAGGGGACAGCGTCTCTACTGACTCACCCACAGGGGACAGCGTCTCTACTGACTCACCCACAGGGACAGAGTCTCTACTGACTCGCCCACAGGGGACAGCGTCTCCACTGACTCACCCACAGGGACAGCGTCTCCACTGACTCACCCACAGGGACAGCGTCTCCACTGACTCACCCACAGGGGACAGCGTCTCCACTGACTCACCCACAGGGACAGCGTCTCTACTGACTCACCCACAGGGGACAGCGTCTCCACTGACTCACCCACAGGGACAGCGTCTCCACTGACTCACCCACAGGGACAGCGTCTCCACTGACTCACCCACAGGGACAGCGTCTCCACTGACTCACCCACAGGGACAGAGTCTCTACTGACTCACCCACAGGGGACAGTGTCTCCACTGACTTACCCACAGGGACAGCGTCTCCACTGACTCACCCACAGGGACAGAGTCTCTACTGACTCACCCACAGGGACAGTGTCTCTACTGACTCACCCACAGGGACAGCGTCTCCACTGACTCACCCACAGGGACAGAGTCTCCACTGACTCACCCACAGGGACAGTGTCTCTACCGACTCACCCACAGGGACAGTGACTCTACCGACTCACCCACAGGGGACAGCGTCTCTACCGATTCACCCACAGGGGACAGCGTCTCTACTGACTCACCCACAGGGACAGAGTCTCTACTGACTCACCCACAGGGGACAGCGTCTCCACTGACTCACCCACAGGGGACAGCGTCTCTACTGACTCACCCACAGGGGACAGCGTCTCTACTGACTCACCCACAGGGGACAGCGTCTCCACTGACTCACCCACAGGGACAGCGTCTCTACTGACTCACCCACAGGGGACAGTGTCTCCACTGACTCACCCACAGGGACAGCGTCTCCACTGACTCACCCACAGGGACAGCGTCTCTACTGACTCACCCACAGGGACAGTGACTCTACTGACTCAACCACAGGGACAGCGTCTCTACTGACTCACCCACAGGGACAGCGTCTCTACTGACTCACCCACAGGGACAGCGTCTCCACTGACTCACCCACAGGGACAGCGTCTCCACTGACTCACCCACAGGGGACAGCTGACTCCACTGACTCACCCACAGGGGACAGTGACTCCACTGACTCACCCACAGGGACAGCGTCTCTACTAACTCACCCACAGGGGACAGTGTCTCCACTGACTCACCCACAGGGACAGCGTCTCCACTGACTCACCCACAGGGACAGTGTCTACTGACTCACCCACAGGGACAGCGTCTCCACTGACTCACCCACAGGGGACAGTGTCTCTACTGACTCACCCACAGGGGACAGCGTCTCCACTGACTCACCCACAGGGGACAGTGTCTCCACTGACTCACCCACAGGGGACAGTGTCTCTACTGACTCACCCACAGGGGACAGCGTCTCCACTGACTCACCCACAGGGACAGCGTCTCTACTGACTCACCCACAGGGACAGCGTCTCTACTGACTCACCCACAGGGGACAGTGTCTCTACTGACTCACCCACAGGGACAGCGTCTCTACTGACTCACCCAGCGTCTCTACTGACTCACCCACAAGGGAGAGGGACTATACTGAGACATCCAGGAGACATTGTCTCCAATGAGCGCAGGGGGGAGTGCCCCGTGTAAAACCCACGAGAGTTGATGTAGTGAATAAAGAGTGAGCGAGCCAAAAGGAAAGATTGAATGCCATGAGGAGAGAAGAAGCCCAATACTGTGTAATCAACACCGAATCCGAGATGGAGGACAGGCGGAAGTGATGATCAGGGCATGCGCACGAACCGTACCTTTCTCAATGGAGTAGTTGCCTTTATAATCCTTCGTAATCAGCCCCACTCCCACCAGACCTTGCCTCATATCTGTAACAGCAGCGCATTGCAGTCATGCTCCGAATAGTCACCGCTCATCCGGCCGGCGGCCAGTACCTTCTTTGGGAAATTGTGATGACAATCAGAATCGGAGCCTTCATTCGGACGGGAGAAAGCCAATAACCGTGAGATCATTTACAATTTCACTGTGCTATTACACAGTGTGCAGCAGAGAGGGCAGTGCAGCCAAAAACACCCAATGTTGTACTGCACTTGTACATCCCTCATCTCTGGCACCCTTCCCCTCTAGTGCCTTTCTCCAACCCGCACCGACCAGCGTGGCGAAGTACGGCCAAAATAAACCCCGCCCCCACGGCCCCTACACGGCACGGGGAGGGCCCTCGCTCGGCAGCGGCCTGGCAAACAAAATCCGTTCGCCACGTGAAGACGGCACGACACGTGCGATAGCACGGGAACTCGCCCCGAGGGGGGGGGGGGGGGGGGGGGGAGGCACCGCAAGGAAGAGCCCCTCTGGAGGCCGGAGCACCAACGACGGAGGAGGGGGTGGGGGAAGGATGGCAGCCGTCGAGACGGACCTTCGAAGAAGTCACCCTCGTAGCTAGCCGGCGGTGGGACCATGTAGTGGAAGTCGATCTGGTTGATGAGCGATTTGAGGACCTTCTCCATGGCCTCCCTGCCGTACTGCACACGTCATGGGGAAACAAAGCGACCAGCCGATCGGATCGATGGGTCTTCACATCGGAGTTTAACACGTAGACTTTCGCGACCAATATTATTCATAATCAAGGTTTTTGGGTTTAGATCGCGTTATTTATGTGTCGTAACCCTCCACCACCCGACACGGACCAATCAGTAAAAAAGTGTCACGTTGACAAAAGACAAATAGTTCACTGCTTTAGCCCACCGGTGTGTTGAAGCGTGAAACCAAAGGTTGTGGTTTCACGCTGGAGCCCTGCCGTGTACCGAAAACAATGCCCCCCCACAGCAGCCTATAGCACCTGTTTCTGCATGCCGCTCACCTATCTTAAGCATTACACAGCCGGCTCGACCCCCGCCGAACAACGGAGGCGTGACAAACCACTGGGCACGTTCTGGGTTCTTCTTTTCATTCTTATTCATTAGCGCTGGAGCCACACGCTCATCTTAGAGGTGCCTATTTGACATTATTACATTAGAAAAATCACCCCTTTGAGATTGTTAATTAAATAGTTGCCTCTGTAAAATTACTAACAAATACATTTTCATTCAGGCTGTTAAACATGCCAGTGGCACCTCAACAATTACACACTTCACCTTACCACCCACAAACTTACCAGGTCCGTAACTTCTAGAGTTTGCCATTTAAATCTGTTTGCGGTTTAAATTTTTGTATTTAAAAAGTGCACGCGTGTAAGAGCGTGCGTTTAAAATCTCGGGGAAGCTCTCCGCTCACCTTGTTGTCGAAGTTGAATCGGCTCATGTCTCGCGACTCCGTCGCTCGCCGATCTCCGTGCGTCAGCGCTCCCTGCATGCGTCAACGCACAACGATGAGACAAACGTCACCCCGCGTGGATACACACACGGCCCGGCTTCACCGCTATCCGCGAGCTCCTATTAAGGCCGGCAAGGCCAGAGCGGCGGTGGTGCGATTGGCGCCATATAAATAATAATAATGCCAACTTGTACGGGCGCCACTGCCACACAGCATTCGCTCGCTCTCGTAGAGAGAGAGAGAACAACTCAGAGGGACGAGGATCACAGACGGGGCAGGAGGGCAGCCACGCGGGGTGAGCCGCCACCAAGTTCCACACCCAAGCTCTGCCGTCCTCTACACATGAAGGCGTTAACAGCCAATCAATGCGCGTTTACGCGCGGGTGAAAAGCGGAGCGCCTGGAGAAGGCCCACGTGGACGAACGGGCAAACGCTCTTTCCAATACAGATGGAGTCCACATGTCGCTGCGCTGCCTTCACCTGGCGAGCCAGGGAATGGCAACTCCACGACGTCCACATGAAGGGAGTTTCGCAACATCTGTGCGTCGATCCACCAACAACTTGCTCTGGCACCTTGAGATGTTACCGCATTGGAGGCTCCGTAGAAATACAGTAACACTGGAATTCACGCCCTCCCGCTGTACGCACTGTGGTACCTCGCCATGATGGACTCCAGATTTACCAACTTCACCGTGACGCTCCAATTTGTTTACGTTCCACGGCAAACATTCAGGCGCCAGATGTACCGAGGCGCCCAAGCGTCAGCGTCCCTGACTAGCTATAGTCTCCTTCTCATTGTCTTTTCCCCCACATACCATATTTAATCACATTATTTCTTACGGAGGAAAATGTGCTTCGATTTCAGTACTTTCGAATTATGTTCTGGTTTTCAGGAACGCATCCCGGGCGTAAACCGGGGTATTGCCTTCGTTATGTTGCGGCGAAGTTTAATCCGTATAGTTACAGGTGACCGACACCCTGCTCTAAACGCAGGATCTCTCTGGGTCCTGGCTCCGTGCGTGACTCAATGGGTTCTCTGCTGCTGCTACTGCTGCTGCTACTGCTGCTACTGCTGCTGCTCCTGCTGCTGCTGCTGCTGCAGTGAAGGTAGGCGACTAACCTCAACGTTGGACAGGGTAATCATGGAAAAAAGCATAGCGTTGTGCGTCGTACTCACCAGGCTTTCCAGTCGCTTGGCCACGATGGAGGCAAACCTCCTCTCCCCGGCGAGCTCCGAGATGAGGAAGAGATACTCCGGAGCCGACACCTGGTTGGAGCGGTGCGTGCGACCTGCACGCGCGACACAATTGACAGGTGTCTATTATAATTGTTTTTTTACCTTTATATCTGGCAACAAAACTGACACCTTTTTTTACAAGGAGTCATGTTTACATAGACCACAATACCTGCAGTCATAATGCAAACAAAAAACATAACTCTGATAATGTGCACTGTCCTTGAAGTTGATTGGTCCACACCCGAGACAGCTTTCCTTAGAGCCTAGTCTAACATGGGTTGGACCAGATGACGCCAGATAAAAGGGTAAAAAAACAATTATCATATTTTTACTATTAATTATGTTTGAAAATCCATAAGAAAAACGTTTACCAGGTAAGGCCCACTGAGCTATTTAGCCCATTGAGCGATAAAGCAGAAGTGACCTGGTCACAAATGATAGCTCGGCGAAGTAGCTTATCACGTGAAATTTATAGCACCAAATACTCTAAACACACGTTTGATTCTAAATGTGGAGGGCAAAACCAGAGGATCCGGAGAAAAATTCACGCGACCACAGGGGGAACATGCAAACTCCAAATATACAGGCGTCAGGGTCGGGATTGAACCCACGACCTCCTGCATACCAAGCGAGGTAGTTAACATCTCACCACTGCGACGCCCAGTCAACAACAAGGCAAGCGGGAAGCGCGGTGTCAGTGAGCGTCGTTCTCCGCGAAGTTCCTCCGGGTATGGAGGCTCCAGTTGGCACTCAAAATGTAAAAAGCGCCGTCTCAATTCATCGGGGGGGAGCTCACCTCCACTGTTGGTCTCACAATCAACTGCGAAAGTTCCACTGGACGACGATGTGCGCAAGCATCGGCGCAGGAAGAACATTCTCTCCGCTCAGCGGTAATCGTTCAATCGCAGAGGAACAATGGGCCGGAATCGACCCCGGACCTGGGATTCGAACTCGTGTATTTTTGTTGGTCGGTTCAAAGTGCCACCCGGCCAGATTCGTACAATTGCTGCACCGTTTTCGCTACGCCGGACGGTGGAGGGCCTTGACGACACAACTGCGGGCGGATCATTCCGTAACACCAAAAAAAATCGACAACGAAACTCGAAAAACCAAACAAAGTTAAAATGAACATCATCCTCGTACCGAACTGCTGAATGGCGCGGTCGGCGCTCCACGGGAGTTCGAGCGTCATGTGCACGCGCCGCCTCTTGTTCTCGGCTCGCCGGTCGGCCTGCAGGGAGATGCCCGAGCTGGCCGCCTCCGAAATGATGGCGACGTGCTGCACACGCACGCATGCACACAAAGACAAAGATCGACCGTGTAGCCCTTAACAGACTGCTGGGGCAAGTGCTGTTAGAGTAGCAACTAATAAAGGCCGACACGGCACACCAGGGGGATGGGTCGAGCACCATGACCGGCCCCCGCTTTCGTCTCCCGCAGTAGCAACATTTACACACCGCACCAGACACCCATTTAAGGCCGAGTCGACCTAGGGTAGGCCCAGGACTAGTTCAGATAATCGTCACTGCTGTTGGTGGCCATGGGCGGAAATTTAACTCCGGTTGCCTGAGTTCGCTCACCATTTCAATCAATTCACAACATTCAAGCACTCGTTTAATCAATTAATTCATCTGCCCGTTCACTCATTCATGCATTTGCTCATTCGTTCACTCATGCATTCATTCATTCTTAGTCAGTGAAGAGCCCACATACAACCTCTCCTCCCCCCCCCCACTCGACGGTCACGCACCTTCTCGCCGGTCATGAACCGCTGCTTCTCCTTGATGTTGACGATGTCGATGTGGACGCCGGGCTCCGCGCGTGTCTCGTACGCGACCTTGCCGTCCGCCTTCTGCACGATGCGCCCCTTCCTCCCGGTCATCTGGCAGAGCGGACACACGCACGGACGGGGGGGGGGGGGGGGCGGTCAGAGGCGGCCGGACAGCTCGCGGGACACGCAAAAGGAACGAGCGACATGCGCCACACGCCTGGGGAGTGACCATTGCGTTGCCAGTCACTTGGAATTAAGCCACGGTGGCTACGAGATGTTAACTACCTCGCCTGGTATGCAGGAAGTCGTGGGTTCAATCCAGACCCTGATTCCTGCTGCTGTATATTTGGAGTTTGCGTGTTCTCACTCTCATCATCATCACGGTGGCGAGGAGATGTTAACTACCTCGCCTGGTATACAGGAGGTCATGGGTTTGATATCCGACCCTGATGGCTGCTGTATATTTGGAGTTTGCGTGTTCTCTCTCTCATCATCATCACGGTGGCTATGAGATGTTAACTACCTCGCCTGGTATGCAGGAGGTCGTGGGTTTGATCCGGACCCTGATGGCTGCTGTATATTTGGAGTTTGCGTGTTTTCTCTCTCCCTGTGGTCGCGTGGATTTTTCTACGAGCGTTCAGAGTATTTCACTGCTATAAAGGTCTACACAATAAGCTATCATTAGTTGCCAGGTCGATTCTGAAAAAGAGCTAATAGCTCAGTGGGCCTTATCTGGTCAAATGTAAAGTTTAGTTTTATAGTTTCATCAATTGCGAGACAAATATTTTATTACATTACTCGTGCGTACGTCATTTATTGAGGAGTCTCAATATTGTTTCTCAAAGAGGGTTCAGCACGAGGATGTTTGACCAAATTCCACCAATGTGTGTTTTGCACGTGTGAGGGTACCTGGAGGAGAAGCATCTACCGCTTGGGCTTGGCCACCATGGCACAAATGCCACGGCAAATCCTTTGAGCGCCGTTTTTTTTTAACCAAGTTGATGGGCGATTATTTTAATCAGTTTTGCCAGCTTACTCTCGGTTAAGTCGCCAACAGCAACATAACTCAATACCAAGGTCGGTTCAACATCACGAGAGTTATCGTGCCCAAGCCGTATACAGATGGACGGGGCCGCCGCATCACCGCTCTCAACCTCAGAATTCGATCAATCGGTCAAAATTCGATCCAATGCATCGGCGCATAAACGACGAATTCGCTTAAACGGAGGGTTAACGACGAGTACTTCGGCATAAAACCAACACGTGGCCTGGACCCAAAACACAAACACGGCCAACAAGGCCCCATACACACGCGTTTTTAACTTCTGCCCTCCGTCGGAAAGCGTCGATAACGGGCGTGTGCGTGTGAACGTGCGCACGCAGCAACAAGAACCTCGGCCACGATGGAAGGCCCTCCCAGCTTCTCAATGAGCTCGTCGAGCGTGTTCAGGGGCAGATCCTTGGTCAGCTCGTCCACCTTCCTCAGCAGATCCTGCTTCATCTCAAACAGCATCCCTACAGGGCGGCAGCAGCAGCGGCAGTTCAATGTTAATGTTCCGTTTAATTGAGGGATTACTGCTGTGTGTTGGTATGAGTTCTGGGACTGTGTTGTTGCTGTTTTGCCTACTTGGGATTGGTCTTATATAATTAATGTATTAATTCATCATGATAATTTACATTTCCAAGGCACATTTCATCTAAAGGATTCCAATGCGCTGCATTAAACAACCAAAACTTCTGGGAAAGGACCATTTTATAGAGGTGAGTTTCCAGGGAGGATTTATTCATTTTTACTTCGTGACTTCTTCACCATTTTTGCTGTTTTGCACTCCGATCGTCTTTTTGTTGTTATCATTTGCTGTTGTAACTCGCTGACCCTGTGCCTATACTGGACGTCTGTGAAAAAATAGCTTCAACGCTCATTGCGATTACTCCTGGAATCTAAACAAAGACTGATTGGGACGGGCAGCAGTGGCGGCAACCAGCACACGGGCAGCACTAGGGGGCGGCACGACTCACACGCTTGCAGTGGCCCTCTCTCGCGGGGGGCCCGAGGCACGGGGGGCGGGGATACAAAACGGCCGGGGTAAGCCCGAGCCAAAAGCCGTCGTCCTAGTAGCAGCAGCAGCGGCGACAGCTTTTGGCCAGCCGTCAAACAAAGAAGGTGGACACCGCATCACGGGGCGTTTTCACGTGCGCTGTTTCTGCGGCCGTTCGGAACACAATTCCTTCCGATATCCGGAAGCCACTGGAGCAATGCACTTTTAAGTCATCTAGATTGAAAAGTATTTCTTTAGAACTGCTTATTTGTGATTAGTTTGTTGTCCTTCCCGTGCACCTCCGAGAAGCGCGGTTGGCAATACGTATGGTGGTACATTCGGATTGTTTTTTCAACGCAGCAGGGAATACTGCGCGATAACTGCAGCTACCACAAGATACACGTGACACATTTACGGATGGGAGAAGGGATTCGTTGTGATCTACCCCTTCCCCATAGTTAACTCTGTACCGTGGACCGAACCCCACGATGCAATGGCCACCGTAGTTTTTCAGCCAATGATCAATCACGATGTTTCTTCATATTTTACGTTATAATTCACAAGGCCTGGAGGAGGCAAGCAGTGTTTGCGAACTTCTATTAAGGCTGGAACACCACTCGATGGGGCAGTGTGGCCTGCACTCTGGGGATGCCCTCAGCTGCCTTTGTCTCTCCAGCTGTAGCCCGGTTGGTTACGTACGATGCGAAAGTAGTAAAAAAAACACAATTTTTTTCAGAACTACGTTTTGTCTTTAGTTTGCCGTCCTTCCCCCCGCACCGCCAATTAGCACGGTTGGCTACGTACGGTGCGAAACAAGTTCAACACACAGTACGTACATATGCCCCGTGCCCCGTCTCACCCGAGTAGTCAATGGGGACGGCAGCCGCGGACGTCATGGCTCGCGCGGGGTCTTCCGGCGTGATGATGATGACGTCGTCGTCATCGTCGTCCTCCTCCTCCACCTTGATGGTCCGCCCCCCGTTCTCCTGCTGCGCCGTACGGAACGCGTTCATCATGGCCGCCGCCGCGGACGTCGCCGAGCCGTACGGCGGCATCGTCAGCATGGGCGGTGGAGCGCCCAGCGGCGGCAGCGGAGACGCGGCGGCGCCGCCGTCGTCGCTCTCGCCCTCGCTGCGGAACTCCAGGCCGCTGTCGTCACTGTCCCGGGCCTGCGGGCAGCCCAGGAGGGCCGCCATGGCCGGCGTGACGGTGGTGGCCGAGGCGCCCTCCTTCAGCCGCGCCAGCTTCCCCTTCCTGCCGCACCGCTCTGATTGGTGCAGCCGGGAGGGGGGGGGGCGGACAAGGCAAAAACAAACCAGCCGTTTGTGGAGCGTCCCGGACTGTGACGTGCGCGCGTCTCGGAGAGGAGATTATTTAGCCCCGTGAAGTCGGCTGACCCTGTGCGGCACAACGTGAGCGCAAGCAGCAACGGCTCGCGAGTGGGCATTAGTCGGACGATTCGATTTTTACAATTGGGTAAACTTGCAAATCGCTTTTCAAATGTGGACCGTGAAGCTGGTTCACGCGGCCTTTTAACGTCACGCAATCTCGAACGTCCACTGCGAAGCGGACGGAACATATTTCATAATTAATACGCCCGCAGTATTAACCGGGGCGGGCCGGGGGCTTGAACAGCAAACCCCTACAACAAACGGCAATCACGCCACGGCTCAGCTATGTCATCGCCCCCGTAGTCTGGGACGGTGGGTCTATTATTGATCGTATTGGAGCGTGCGTTCGATCCCTCAGGCCCCCTTTTAAAAACGGCTGTCGCCCCGACATCCTCCTGAAGGCAAGAAACCCGCCCCCACCCCCCCCTTGCCGCACAAGCCGGCGCCCAGCGCGGCGACGACGAAGATGTCGACGACGCCACCCGTCTAGCGGCACACACACACAGACGTGGGGACAGAACAGAGGCGAGAGAGGGGCTTGCTCTTTTCTTTTTTTAACTACACACAACTATTTTCACGTTGTCCGATTAGACTGGTCATCGATAAACCTGTTGAGTCGTCGATGGACTTAAAGGATTGGATATCTCGGGTCTACACAGTGAAGCAGGCAGGCCTGGCGACGTGCTTGATCGGCCAAGGGGCTTTAAGGAGGTGACGTCATCGCGTTTCTGCCTCTGGCCGGCACGGTCTTCACTGTGCGGTGTCTTGGGGGTCACTCCTCACCATTGAGCCGTCTTCTTTTCATGTCTGCCTTGCTGCACGCATCTGCACACTCCTGTCCTAAGAAAATAAGCAGTAAGAATTCTTCCCCTTTCCAAAGCCGCATCCTCGACACGTGTTCACATTTAAATGCTTTAGAAAAATCGAAACCGCATCGGATGCCTTCACAGGAGCAGCCACGGAGCGGCGTAATGGTCAGCTCCCCACCACAGGACTTGCGAATCAGAGGTCGCCGGTTTGATTCCTTCTTCCGGCTCGGCAGTGAAACGACGGTGCAAAGTTCTAAATGCCTCCCAAGCCCCCTGCCACCTTGTTCCACCGGGCAATATAAATCACTACGGCACAGGTAGGGACGTGTGCGGTGGTGGGGGCGCAGCAATGTGGGGGCAATGTGGGGGCAAGAACGTGGGTAGGGCCCACCTCTTCCAACATGTCTGGTCAACGTGAAAGAGGAGACCAAAGACCGTCTCGAATTCGTTCAAGTTAAGTCCCCCCTTCCGCGAGCAGCGGCAGTGAGCAAAGCAATCGGCGGGGGCTGTGGCCTTTAACCTTTTGAAAGCCTTCACCAAGGGCCCGGTCCCAAACGGTGGTACGGATTTTGGCGGGTCCGTGGCCTTTGCCATGTGCTTCCTGTGCAGCAGGGAAACCTCAAAACAAACCTCTTCCCCCGTGTATGCAGTTCGTTTGTAGGTTCCCTCAGCTTCACCGAACATAAGACTCGCCTCCGTTTTAGTTTTCGAGAATGATACCGCGTTATATTTTAAGTGGACGTCTATTCATATGGATCAATTATGAGACATGGTTCAAATGCAGTTGGGTAAAATATAAATATATTGTTAAACAAACTATCTTATGCCCTCGTTAAGCAAGTGTTCATCCCTCAATGGTCCCTAAAATAGGTGCGACTTTAAAATAAAATTATTCCATTCTCACTGCAAAGACTGCCACGTAACATATACTGGTAATAATTTGGTTAAAAAAAATCTGTCCTGTATAATATTTTCTTTCAGAGGAATGTGGAATTTCCACAACTGGTTCAGGGCTTCCGACAAAGATTTGTGTTTCGATTTAAAGCTTTCGTGACTGCAGGGATTCATCTTCTTGGTTCTTTCGGTAAAGTCACGTAGAAGGGAAGTAATAAAATAATAAAAATAAAACATAATAAAAAAATTCTCACGACGTTTCGGCTACAACGCAAGCAGCCGTCTTCAGGTGAAGAATGGTAGTGTCTCATTCTTCACCTGAAGACGGCTGCTTGCGTTGTAGCCGAAACGTCGTGAGAATTATTTTATTATGTTTTATTTTTATTATTTTATTACTTCCCTTCTACGTGACTTTACCGAAAGAACCAAGAAGAAGAAAAAGATGTGTGTCTTTTCCACCCATATTGGCTGCGATGTCGTTATAGCAACCTGATTTATACGTGATTTTATATTCCAGTCACGGTTTGCCTTGGGCCCATCATCATCATTTCGCCAAGGTGAATAAAATTAGTACCGCTTTTCAGAGTCAACAGTGGTAGTCTTACAGTCAAGACTGATCCCTAACTAAAGCAATGGGCAATTTCCACCACTGGCTCAGGAAACACCACTTGGTCCACTCAACCAGAAATAAATACCTCTTCCAGCAGGTCTACAAAAGCACCGGTGGTGGTGGTGCTGGTACCGACCGTGCACCACCACCTCTCGCGTGTGACGCTGGCCCTGACGGCACTGATCCAGCTGTCAAATCAACGGCGTTGGCAAATGTCTCGGTGGCCCTGCGGTGCGTGGTGGGTGCAACGGCGCGTGTCACACTGCGCCAGGGGTCTTACTTATTATCCTCTTGGGTGCGGCTCGTACTCGGGCTTTTCCGCTCGGGAAATTCTTCTTGATCAGAGCCTTGAGGACTCCACTGCGGCGAAAGGAAGCAAAAGCACACGGTGCCGTTTAGAGCGCGTGGTCGCTGGTGACCAGGCCGAGACCGTTCATTCTTTTCATTTGAGACTCCCTCCCCCCACCTCCCCCCACATCCAACCCCCGTCTGGTGCCCGCTATAGGCCTGGCATTCCCTCCCGCTGGTTATCGATGTAAACTGTACAGCACGCGCACACACACACACACATCGCCTTCAAAAATCCAATATTAAATCAACTTCAAGATCGTATTCGGCATCCTCAAGATCCGGATAGACTCATACACATGCCAGACACTTCCCGGCCATCTGACTTCAACTCTTTTTAAACACTCTGTGCTAGAAAAAACAAGGCAATCTGTGAAAACCCTCAATAAACATTGGCACAATGGCGGGAATAATTTAATTTAATTACAATAATACTTATTTTAATATTTCTTCAACTTCATTCTTACGTTCTTTCTGTACCTACACAGATATCGGTCAGAGACGTCCCTATAGACGATCAAAGAAGGCAAATGGAATTGGGCATGACACGTGGGCAGGACGCGACGATATCCATCGGAAGAGGCTGCTGCTGGTGGTCGAAATCTTTAGATCATTAGGAATGTTCGTCATTGCTCTGGCTACGCTGCTGCACACAGCTGCCAAGTCATCCAGCACCGTGGTTATTCATTATTATCATTAGCAACTGCTTTTTGTGTTTAGTTTGTCCTTCCCCCGCACCTCCCATTAGCGTGGCTGTCTACGTAGGGTGCGAAGGAAGTTCAAACATATTGATGGTAGCATCACTGGACCATGAGAGACGGTGAAGAGATGGGGCGGGGCGCATTCGTCCAACAATGGATCGACAATAGCTGACGCTGATGATGCGTGTCGGACATTAAATCACTTCACAGACGTTGTGGACTTTTTTAGCACGATCTTTAATTCGGTACGAATTGGCTGCCGCTGTCGGCACGGGCATTGGAGTGGTCTACGATTCTGACGACTGTGAGGAAGAGAAGACCTGAAGAGCACACGGTGGGAGGCTGTCACAACAGATGTCGGAGGCCGCTGCATGTCTACTGTGCAGCAGCTTCTGTGGGATCTGGCGAAGGGGGAGAGGCTGTGGAATCCACGGCTTCGGTCGAAACGAAGCCTCGATCTTGTCGACACGTTAAACCGACGATGAAGGTTGCGAGTTCGTACCCAGCTGCCGAAACGAACTTGTCGATCGTCCCGTTTCCGAGCTCCAACTCCTCCCGGGTGCGTGCCTCGCCGGTCGACTGCAGTCCGATCACCACGCACTGCCGTCGCGCACACGCAGCACGCGACAACGTCAACATCGGGAAGTGCCATCAAGGGACCACTGTGCCAGGCTAGGTACGCTTTGGGGCTCACAGGTGGAGTGGGGAATGCTCGCAAGCACGAGGTCAATGGGTTAACTGGCTGAGATGACTGGCAGATCGAGAGGACCTGCCCCAAAATATAGCAATGTGCCGTGTCTGGAGTTAGATTCCCGCTCACGTCCAACACCAGTGACGATCATCTGAACAGGTCCTGGGCCTCCCCTAGGTCGACTCAGCCTCAAATTAGTACCTGGTGCGATGTGTTCACGTCGCAACGAGGGAGACAAAGGCGGTCGGGCGTGGTGTTGGCAACCCTACCCCCTCGTGTGCCGTGCCTGCCTTCGTAGGTGCTCGCTAACAGCACTTTCCCCAAAAGTCTGTTAAGGCTATACGGGAGATCGTTGTCTTTCTTCACGTGAAAGTTGTTCGTCCGGTTATCTAAATATATAAAAGGGAAATTTGTGATATGTGTGTCTGTTCGAAATGTTTAGCATACTTCACAACATGCAACAAACTTTCAATTTGGCATGTGGGTAGCTTCCAGACTGTACACAATGCAAAAAGTATAAAAATAGACTTTGTAATTTTGGGGGGGGCGCAATAATGTATATATTTTGCACGGCAAGTGAGCGGTGACGTCACATCTGTGATGTCACCCGCAGTGTTGCCTGCTGACGTCACGCATCCTCCCACACCAACCCTCCGCGTAGGCCGTGTATTAATCCAAGACAAGAATCAAAGTCCCGGGCGAAGCCGGGTCATATAAAGCTAGTGTACAATATAAATTCTCAACACAACAATCCCCCGCCCGGGTGTACAAAGCGTTGTAGGGCTTTTTAAGCGAGCGCTTAACCACGTAGCTCACCTTGCCCTGCTTGAGCGCCTCATGCGCCAGGGTTACCGCTTGCTGAACTTTGCCCGCGATGCACATGTACTTGAAGAACCGCTGGTGCGACGACCAGAACTGACCCCACAGAGACTTGCGCGACACGTCCGGGCACACGCTGGCCGCGCGGTCAAACTTGTCCATCATCTCCAGCCACTGCAAGGCAAAGGGAAACAACTTTAACACGTAGGCCTTTGCGACCAATATTATACATAATGAAGGTTTTTGGGTTAGATCATGTAAATAAAAAAACTTTATTATGAAAGACTAAGAACCGCCGTATTGCCTTTACAGACTGTTGGGGCCAGTGCTGTGAGTGAGTGCCTATGAAGGCCGGCACAGCACACGAGGGGGTGTTGGGTTGCCAGCACAACGCTCGGCCGCCTTTGTCTTTCTAGTGCTGATGTTTACACACCACCGGACTCGGTTTCCCGTGCCTCAATCGACGGAATCTGTGCGAGACAGGCCAGCCAGGGAGTGTTGCCGCCATGTGCTCGCTCACTCACCAGCTTGACCGCGCGGTCGTACACGTTGCGGAACTGCTCCGGCAGTGGAATCTCCACCACGCGGAAGGTGACGCCGTGGAAGCTGAGCTGACGGGCGATGTACATCCCGCTCAGCTTCATGTCCATTGCCACGATCTCCATCCCGCCGACGCCCCTGACACAGCCCAACACGAAGGTTATCAACACGAGCGCGCACACGCGGAGATGGTCAGCCTAACGAGGCGCAGCTATCGAGCAAAGTGCGCAGGCGGTGCAGCTGCGACGGGGCCCACGGGCCAGAAGGGACGGGGGAGTGCGGAAAGAGGAACAAGGAGCCCCCCCCGAATCCATTCATTACACAAGGCCCATGCCAACAACGCTACTCTACTGGGGTCAAGTGTTGTTGGCGAGCACGTATTATTAAGGCCAGTACAGCACCCATGAGGAGGCCGTGAGTGTGGTCACACTCCTGACAGCTCCCCGGTGCTGATGTTCACACACACCATGGGAGGTACTCATTTAAGGCTCAGTCAACCTAGAGGTGGGCTGTACATTGCTCGTTTCGGCAGGAACACCTTTTGACTTTTAAAACAGCGCTTAAAAATCCAAATGGTAAAAACTAGCAGACCGAATGCCAGATTGTATTCTTTGTGTGGCTGAGTGACAAACAGCTTTCATTCCCTACCTGCCCGCAATGTCTTGCTGCAAATAATACAAATATAATAACGAGCTCACCTCCTCTCAATCGACTGCAGGAACTCGTCGAAGGTGTTGAAGGGAGTGTCCTTCCCCCAGATTCCGAGGCGGCTCATGTACGCCATGTTCTTCGGCTCGGATGCACCTAGCGGAAGAGACGGACGCACGCACACTTAATATCACACTCGCACCTTCGCACACTTGCGTTCCATTCCACTTCTGCTGCTGCTACAATGAATCCTGCCCCCCCCAACCCGTCTCCCAAATAATCCGGCTGTGCGGTGATGTGCACAGATTCCGGAAACGTAACTCCAATGACTGGTCGAGTTTATTAGACTGCGAAATGTCATTTAAATAAAAAGCCAGCCTCCATGTGTCACGATCCTCTCTGCAGTCTGGGCAACGGCGACAGCGTAGCCGAAGCCCAGCTCTCCTCTCTCAAGTCTGCCCATCGCTGCACGTGGTGCTGTGTCCCTGGCTAAGACTGCCCAGTCCTCTTCTTCTTCTTCAGGTGCAAGATGGAGACGACGCTCTTGGAGAATTTCTTTGTTGAAGGTGCCAATTATTCAAGTTTGCTTCTGGGGTCTTAAGATATTTTTTTCCCCAAAGGCTCTATCAGTGTGCTCCATTGGCCGGGCTTGGGTTGGCAGCGCGATGTCATCCGCGTACGTGAACTTGCAGGAGGAGGATGTCGCCGGAATGGCGATATCCTCCTCCCGCAGCTTCACCAAGATGGACAGTGAACAATCGGTAACTCGGCACTTCTCAGTGGGGTGGGTCTCCAAGGTTGAGCGTGTGGCTACAGGGCAGGGGTGTGGCTTGCAGGGCAGGAGGTGGGGCGACACGACAGGGAGGCCCAGCCACAGAAAAAGGGTGGCGCTATGGGATAAGGGGATGGTTTACGGGGCAGTGAGAGGGGCTCAAAGTCAAGGGGAGGGGCTATATGGAATGGGGAGGAGCTCCAGGACAGCAGGGTAGAGCTAAACACCATCAATGATGCTGCCGGGAGGATGCAAATTCTGAGTCAACGCTTGCACATGAAACCTTAACTTTACAATAAAGCAACTGCTAATTATACATGGGAGACTTCTGTTTCCTTGCTGAAACAATAGAACATCTCAGTCTATTAACCAGCAGTGTTTGTTCGAACAAGGTTTTGACATCCGAGTCTCTTCAGCAGGGTGTGGTCCACCGAGTGATTGCCACTGGTGTTAGAGGCAAAAGCCATCCTCAAACACCATGGGGGCCTGAACTCGGTGTCTGGGAGAGCCGCAAAACAAACACAATGGACGCACAAAAACAGCAGCAGGCTGCAAGGCTCTGTGTTGACCGATGTGAATTTTATGAACAGAGGACTTCGCCGAAATAATTCCACTGGACGTTTCGGCCGTCATAGTGCAGCAAGCGAGACACGCACGGTTTCGCTCTCGTTGGGGAATCATCGATACGCTCCGGCCGGTCTACTCGGAGGGAGGGGTGTTCGTGACAGCGGTGCGCAGCTGGATGCGTCACCCCGACGTGAAGACGGCCCAGCGGCCCAACGAGCGAAGACAAAAAGGACGAGGAAGGCAGATCCTTCCTCATATTCTTAGGTTTTTTCGGTAAAGTCCCGTAGGTAAAAATTAAAGTTAAAATTAATAAAAGTAAAATAAAAATCACGACGTTTCGGAGGCAACACAAGCTTCCGTCTTTACATAAGAATATGAATCCTTGCAGTCACGAAAGCTTCAAATCTAGATCCTTCCTCGTCCGCAGAGTGCCGGTGAACACGACGACTCGGGGCAGGAATGGGGAATAAGAGAGGACCAGGAAGGCAGACTCTACATCGGCGGGGAAACGCTCGGGAGACTAAGAATTTGGTGAAAAGGTCAGCAAAGAAAACCATCCTCTCCTCCTTCCCTAGACATATTCTGTCAATGCGAGAAGGCCAGTGAGCCTAGTTACCTATTCTGAAGGGACCCGGCCCCAGGTTACTTGTGCGTTTCCCTCCCCGACGTTCGCGTTCTGCATTGGGCTCTTGAATAATAATAACATGTAAAAAAAGTAGTAAATGCGGTAGCGGCGCCGCGGTCACCTGTGGCGCTGGCGTAGACGACGCGGGCGTGCGGCAGCTTGTTCTGCAGGTCCAGCACGGCCTTGCCCGTCTTGGTGGGCTTGGCGGCTCCCACGGGGCACAGGTTCTTCGCCTTGTGGCACTCGTCGAACACCACCTGCGGGCCGGCTCGGTCAAGGAATCCAGGGGGGAGCACGGCGAGAAACGGGGCGGCCGCGCACGGCTGTGGGGGGCTGGGGCCGAGGGCTGCTGAACCGCGACTGCCTCCCGTGCCACGGGGAGATTTAACCCCGAGCGAAAGCAACGGGGAAATGAGTGGCCTCGCGAGTTTTTTGCGGGCGAGGAGAGCAAGGGGGGCTTTTTTTTCGCTGGTGTCGGTAGAAAGTGAGCACTTCGTTGTGCATTTAAGACAGTAGTGTGCATAATACAGGGGGTTATTTTACTAAAATGAAAACAAATATTTTATTTACCAGGTACGGCCCACTGAGCTATATAGCTCTTTATCAGAAGCGACCTGGCCACAAATGATAGCTGAACGAAGCGGCTTATAACGTAGAAATTTAGAACAGATAAATACTATAAAAGGAGTGTCGGTGAACGCTGGTAACACCACGCGACGACTGAATTAATTTCACCGTGTCGGGTCGCGGAGGTTTTTTTTGTTCATGACACGCGGCCCAAACCCGAAAAGAAACCAAATTAATTAATTCCACCGAACACCGCCCTGGACACGCAGAAGTATACGTGCGGGGGGAGGGGGGGAGGAGCGGTTGCACCGTGGTGTGGTGGGGGGGGGGGGTCTCTTGCGGCGTGCGCTTGCAAGTCGCGCGACGGGACCTCGGCGGCAAAGAGGATACGACTCCGTCGAACTCGGGCCCGCACCAGTCCAGCACCTGCTTGATGCGCGTGCGCATGGTGCCAGTGGCGAAGCTCTCGCCGATGAGCGCCGAGTACGTGGCGAAGAGGACGCCCTCCCGCATCCGCCGATCCGTGCTGCCGTACTTTATCTGTGCAGCACCGAGGAGGAGGAAGAGGAGGCGTCAACGGTCGGGAAAAAAACGTACTGGCGCAGCATGAAGACGCTTGTTCAGCCGCCGAGCTCACAGATTTGGAATTATCCAACCTCCTATGACACAAGGTCTGTAGCATCACATCGATAAGGACACTTAAAACTGGCAGTTTCACTTGTGTTTTTGAAAGCGTGGGGTTTTTTTGTCGTATTTAGCCCTTTGTCAATCCACGGCTGGATGAAAGACTCCCAAACCGTGACGGTCATCAAGATGGTTTAACCATACTTCGTCACAGTGCTCAGTTAGGTTTGGTGAAGCACCGGGAAACACCAATGCAGAAGTATAGAAGTACCAAATGACAATGCCGTTTTGCACTGCCAACCACAGCTGCCCCTCAGCGTTAATCCAGCCGAGCTTCTGGGATACGAACCGATCGGGCAAATTCGGGGTGAACTAGTAACATGACCTCTTAATTAGAATCCGAATATTTATTTATACTGGAGGAATCCGATGAGCTATAAGGGGCGGGTCAGAATGTTACAACAGACAGTACAAAACACGATAAGAGTGCAAAGTATAGGAAAGGTAAAACATTACTAAAAAAAATAACTATTTTTATTTTATTAGTTCAGGCCCACTGAGCTATTAGCTTCTTTCTCAGAAGTCACCTGGCGACAAATGATAGCTTAACGAAGTGGCTTATCGCGTGCAAATTGATAGCGGCCAAATAATGTAAATAATCTAAGTTACAGCAACAAGCATTAGAAAAACAACAATTGAAGTGCAAAGTATAGGAAAGCTAAGCAAATCACTAAAAACACATTTCGGTTACTCGTCACCGTGCCACACTTCTGCACAGGTTTTTGGCGGTTATCCCGCATAGCTCTCCCAAGTATTTTCGGGCCTTTCCCGCACCACAGTGGATGTCCGACGTTTCACTCTGGGTGTTTGTTCGGTCTGTCGCGGCAACTTAATTGGGTTTTCCACGAAGAATCTCCCGAGGCGTGGCTTGAAACGTCGGACGACACGCACGGAACGACGCGAACCGTGCGGGGGGGGGGGAAAGCCGAGTGCGCGGTGGTCACAACGCACCTTGTTGAGGCTGTGCACGGGGATGCTGCGAGCTCCGATGTCGTTCAGATCTCGCTCAGCGTCGTACTTGAGGTCGTTGGAGACGCTGAACCTGCACGCACAACACGGGGGCCGATTCCGTAACTCCCTCCCCTCTGGTAGAACCGACGGCGATGACTTGGCGAGCGTTTGGAGGCGTATGGCTAACGAGTGCGTTGATCTGGAGTGGGTCCGCGCGTGCGTTGGTGTGTACGAGTGTGTTGTGGGCGGGAGCGGTGGTGCAGTGGCTAGCGAGCGGTAATATGAACCCGGCAATCAGAGTTTGATTCCCGCTCATGGCCAACACAAATGATAGATTATCTGAACCGGTCATGGGCCTCCGCAAGGTGGACTCCGCATCAAACGAGTACCTGGTGCGGTATGTAAACATCGCCACTAGGGAGACAAAGGCGGCCGGGCGTGGTGCTGGCCACCCACCCCCTCGTGTGCCATGCCAGCCTTCATACATGTTCGTGAACAGCACTTGCCCCAACAGTCTGTTAATGCTATACGAGGATCTTCGTCTTATTTACTAGTGTGTTAGCATGTAGTCACAAGTTTGCGAGTGTGTGTGAGCACACGAGCTCGTGAATGTGCGAGGTTGCGCACACACACGCGTGTGCGTGTGTGCGTGCGCACCCCAGGTGCACTTTGAAGCCTCAAAGTGCACCTGGCCTGGCACAGCAGCTTTGGTAACGTCACCACCACTTAGTGGCGAATGGCAGCTGTCGTTGTTGCACGCACCACAACGCTTTCTTCCGCCCACAGCAGTAGTTTTCCAGGATGATTCCAGCGACGGTGCGGCCTTTACCAACTCCGGCTCCGTCTCCGATCAGGAAGCCCGCACGCTGCCCATTGGGAAGGATGCTCTCATGCCGCTGAAAACAACGCACAGACAGGGACACGCGGACGGACACGTCACCCGCGTGGCATCGCAGGAGCGAAGCAGAGACAGCCAGAGACGTGGCGGAGGAGACAGGGGCTCAGAGTAGGCACAGAAGCTCGTGAGGGTTGACCAGAGAGTGGGTGGAGGGGAGGCGGAGAGGTGGAGGGGAGGAGGAGGAGAAGAAGGTGGAGTGGTACCTGGCAGGAGTAAGTGATGGCCTCGAGCTGCAGGGCGGAGAGCTTGCCGCTGGAGATGGCGTAGTCGGGCATGTGCAGGTGGTAGGTGATGTCAGGGAGCGGCACGCTGGACAGCGTGCTGGTCTCCACCACGCGGTCCGGGTGGTTGCGCCCGATGGACACTGGAGAGAGACGCGAGCGGTGCTCAGCTGCGGAGAGACATGCACTCGCGAGCCTCCACATTTCCGTGTCGAGAGACTGTGAATAAAACTCTTAGTTCTTTCAATAAAGTCACGTAGGTAAAAAATGAAATTAAAATTAATACAAATAAAATAAAAATCACGACGTTTCGGAGGCAAGACAAGTCTCTTGATGCAGCAAATCTGGCTGTGACGGTCCCACCTGATGACGGAGACTTGTGTTGCCTCCGAAACGTCGTGATTTTTATTTTATTTTTATTAATTTTAATTTCATTTTTTACCTACGTGACTTTACCGAAAGAACTAAGAGAATGAATCCTTGCAGTCACGAAAGCTTCAAATCTAGAATTACTGTTAATCAACTCGCCGTGTCATGAAACCGAGTCGACGCTGCTGCCGGTTTGGGTGTTGATGTGTGCGTCTCTCTCTCGCTCTCTAAGGGGGGTTCATAATGCCCTGCCCTAAACACCGAGTTCACGTCAATAAGATGCTGGGTTCACAAACCCGGCGTTCAAGTGTCTCTCTCTATCAAAGGGGTAATTCTATCACTGCCGAGCTCCTGGGTTTGGATCGCCCTCTCTGGCCGCAGCAGCAGCAGCAGCAGCAGCACAGATAGTCTAGGTTCGAGGCCTACAACTGGGTGTTTCCCTATTTCACAGTGCTCAATTGTGAAGTTGGAAATCCCTGAGATTTTGAATCTATTTTCATCGACCCGTGATTAAACTGGATCCATAATAAAACATTTTGGGGCGAGATCGCGTGAATATAAGTGTGTCGTTACTCGCCACCGCCCGACACAGCCAACTAGGAAGGTTCGTGACGTAAAAAACGCGTCAATTAGTTACTCGCTCAGCACACTGGTGTATTGGAGAGTACACCCACAACATTGACGATTTGAGCACGACGTTTCAAAAGCGTATGTGTTCAACTAAGGTGGGTCCCCCACAAGTACATCGACCTAAAGGTCTGAGCCTGGTCATCGATGATTGCACACACAAAAAGTAGTCTAATCAGGCGATATCACAGCTCTGAGGACCAAAACTGCCGGCTTTCTTGCCACGCGACGACATACTAGTGAGGCCGTGATGACAGGTCCCAACCTGCGTTCTGGTTTCCATCGGCCAATGTTTGATCTCTGAACCCAGCCCAGCGTGTTTCTTGGCAGGCGTGAGTGCGTGCGCGCATTCATGCGTGCGTGGGTTATCTCCGGCTACTCAGGTTTCCTCCCACACCTTTAAACGCTCATCGTAAATTGGCTAAAAACATCCAAGATAAAAACTCAATGCAGGACCCTTGTGAAAAAATAATACTTGGACTCGGGGTGGCTTTCCAGGATAAATAACCGATTATATTATCCTTATTATGTACTTGATACCTGCCGTTTGATATCGCAACCTATGCAACAATGACTTTAAGTAAGATCTGTACTGTGTAACATCTGTACCGTCACATGATGTCTATGAAATAGCAGCTCATTGGGCCCTGCCTGCTGAAGTAAATAAAACCTTGACTTAAAGCTTTCGTGACTGCAGGAATTCATATTCTTTGGGTCTTTCAGTAAAGTCACGTAGAAATCCCGGCCACAAAAAATACACGCGACCATGGGGGAGAGAGAGAGACACAAACTCCAAATATACAGCAGACGTCACAGGGTCGGGATCGAACTGGCGACCTCCTGCATACCAGGCGAGGTAATCAACATCTCGCCACTCCAAACGGAAGTTACTCCCGTCTTGTGACAGTTCCAATCGTACGATCCAATTATAACTGGGAAACAAAAGCAAAAACAAACACACAAATCCCGCAAAACCGTAAAACAGCGCCGCTCGCAGCGATTCCTTGCGTACGTTTGGCCGGCGTGTAATCGGCGTACGTCGCCGCGTGGCCCAGATCCTCCCCGTCAGCGTCATCCTCCTCCACCTCTTCCTCCTTTTCCACCACCTAACAACAACAACAAATTACACATACGCGTTTAACGACACACACACAAACGCGACGGCGTTCATCATTTGTTCGGTTTCTCGCAAATCCGATTGGAGCGCGACTGGCTCCCCTCCGTCGGACTGCAGAGTTTCCACCGCTGACGCCACACCAAAGCAGCGCTGACCGACTGTATGATTTGCACGTACGCTGAACTTCTTTCACGCCGTACGTAGCCAACCGTGCCAATCGGAGGTGCGGGATTTAACCGACTGCTCGTTGCGTGCAGCGAGACACGGCTCTGAATTGCCATTTCACTTTCGCCGTCGCGGTCATTTTTTTTCTTGCATTAATGTGAAGCACGTGTCGGGGCAATTTCTCCGAAAACCCTCTCGGTAATTCAAATAAACAATTCAAGGAATTCAACCCAAAAAGGAATTGAAGCCGTGAAGGATTTCACCCACTGCTCTGCGTTTGCGTCGCTGCAGGCCTGATGGAGAGCCGCCGCCCCTGCTGGCGGTGGCTACACGTCCACCGTTAGCGGCCACAGTTCTATTATCATAACCGCCTGGCATTTGATAGAGCACAGAACTGGAAATAGCTGGAGTAATGCTCGTTCAGATTTAAAATAAACAGCAGGCGTAGTCCCGTTTTTTTTGCAAAGAGGTGGTGTCAGGTGTACACGGAGGCTCATAATGGGCCAGTTCAGATTATATTCCTGAAACACTACATCTACGAGTGCAGATGAGGACCGAGGAGTTTCCTTCAAATATTCCGTTACCCATATTGTTAAGACAACAATTCTTTTTTTTCCTCTTCAAAAAGTTAAATCGCCTCCCTGCTCAACTGATCAAAGGAGGGGGGAGGGGGGTAAGAGCTCATCACCTCCACCACGAACATCAACCGTTTTCCGCGTGTCAGGAAAGAGAGTTTACTTTTCTCAGCGGCTACGAAGCTCAAAGGGACCCGCTGCCGTCCAAAATGAGGGAGACGGCCGTCGTTTCGATCGCTCCGTGCAGATGATCTGCGGGGGGCGAGCAAGCCGTGAGCGGTGTTTGAAACGGGGCACGCGAGGCAGCAGCCCAGCCCGTGAGCCCGCGCGAGGGATCTCACTCGTCGGTACCACACCCGGGGTGGCACAGCTTCAGCGGTCACAAACTAAAATTACGTTGAGATGCGGTCAACAACGCTGAATTACGCAATAACCCAGGCGATTGTGTTTTTTTAAGATTCTAGGAGGTCTTGCCCCTGCCTCCCTCTCCCTCTCTCATTTCACTTGACTCTCCGGGCTCGTTACATCTCCGCTCCAGAAAACAGAGGCCTCCTTCCCACAGAGGCCAGAGTCAACCCGGCGTTACCTTCTCAACATCTGCTACTAATTGCCTGGAATTCTCTTACATTTGCAGTTGAGCCTCCGCCCCAGTTCACGTCAAGACTTAAAGACTCATTTGTGTTCATGCAGCAAATTATTTTTGCTCTGGAGTGTCTGGAGTTCAGTATTTAGACGCTACGCAAGATATAAATTGCAATATCCACAAACGTGAATCGGTACGAATACGCGTTTTGGGATCTTAGGTGGCGAACATTTCTGCTCTGGCACACCGAGTCCCCGAGCCGCCAACGCAACGCGGAATGCGGCGTCCATGGGGTGCCGTTTCCGAGTAAACGTGACGAACGCCGGCTTCTCAGAAATCCCGGCCACAAACACCGGCAGGATCGGGGCCAAGAACAAAGCTGGACAGTTCACGAACGGCAGAACCACGCCCTCCACGCCACGACCGCCCCCCCCTCTACTCCGCCACCGCCTGCAACACGCACGCCGCACACTCCCCACCGCCAACGTCGACCGGAAACACAACACGGGCAGCACACACTGCCGGCTCTGATTCACATGACATCCCCAGACCATCCCCCGCCCAACCACAGCTCCAGGCACCCCGTTATAACGACACGACAGGGAGGGGGTGGGAGTACACACTGTACGAGTGTGATTGCTGTGCATGTGGTGCTATGCGCACGGCATGTGGGCGTGCGAGCGTGCGGGGAGCGGTGGTGGAGCGGTCAGCGAGCTGGCGCTACGAAGCCGGCGCCCCGAGTTCGATTCCCGCTTACGGTTAACGCCAGCGACAATTATCTAAACCGGTCCTGGGCCTCTCCAATGTCGACTCAACCTCAAATAAGTACTCGGTGTGGTGTGTAAACATCGCCATTGGGGAGACAAAGGCGGTCGGGCGTGGTACTGGCCACCCACACACTCGCATACCGTGCTAGCCTTTTCATAGGTGCTCGCTAACAGCACTTGCCCCTACAGCCTGTTAAGCCTTTATGGGGGATCTTTGTCTTTGTGGTCGTGTACAGTGGTTAGCTCACTGCGCTATGAGTGGGGATGTTGTTGTGACCTTCAGTGTGGTGAGTGGGTGGGTGAGTGGGCGAGTGTTGTTGTGACCTGCAGTTTGGTTTAGTTGAACACAGTGAATGGAGAAAAAACAAATGTTTGACAGATCTCAGCATGTGTGGAGGAATCAATGAGTGAAGTTCTCTGGAATATATACTATCGTAGTAGTCGTAGTAGCGATAGAAGAGTGATAAGGAGGTGATTGACCGCCGGTGAGCTCGTGGCTGGAGTGAGTCAGTGCTGTATCATCAATTCGCCTCCCCACTGCTGCTTCACACTGAACGCTACCCAGTGATGCAGTCGGCTAGAATCTGGGTACTCCACCACAGATGTGACAGCAGCAGGATTACAACTTGGGCTGAACCTGTGCTCTGTTTAAGCAGCCGTAACAACTGTTCGGAGTTAAATACGAAGGCCTTGCCACAGAAACACAAATCCAAGCTTCCACCGATGCCTCCTTTGCCAGTTTAGTAACCGACAGCTCAGATTAGATTGTTGTGCCAAGCAAATGAATGGTTTTACTGTGGATAAGAATTACATTGCTCCCGTGAAAATGCCAGTCTGATGTGATATTATCCTTGACTGTTTTCATTGTTGCTGCACGCTTTCTGTCAGCTGGCCGGAACACCTCCTCCGTCAGCCAGGGGTCCTTTGGGAAAGTTAAAACAGCGGTAGCCAATGCAGCTGCACGAGCCACAGTCCTAAAACTAACCCATTTCCCCTCGGCATCAGGAGGAGGGGCGACGATGCCAACCCCAGTCGCAAGCGACAATGACATTTTCTCTTGCAACCTTCACCAGCGAGCCAAGAACAGGCGATGGGTTTGAATAGTGTCCTCGATGGACGCTTGCCACCACAGTAAGAGTATGGCAAGGCAAAAATTACAGATGATATGCCAATGGTCGATGGGCAGATCAACCCCATTGAAGGTGCTTGTGTCAAGGACATGGGCCCACATTCGCTGTTCTGTCACTGTAGTCCAGCAGGTAAGTTCTTGCTTGGACCCGGCTTGCAACCGTGATGTTGTGTGGACGAGCCGAAGCTGGAATAGTGTGTTGGTGATTACAAGCCTATGGGCTGCGCACAAGTCTAACAACCTTCTACCATTGTTATTGATGTTAACTCTCAGTCACAATTGCAACTGTGACCGGTAATTGCGAATGGCAACTCTGATTATCGGGGTCTAATCTACCCTTTCTTTTTATATTTGACTATTGCTGTTATTTATTGTTTGGTGGTCGAGTGCATGTACGAGTGTTTCATTTACCTAGCGATGCAACTTCCTCAAATTTTTCGCCATTGCCAACCCAGGCTTGGGGCACCACGGTTGCTAGGAGATGTTAACTACCTCGTCTGGTATACAGGAGGTCATGAGTTCAATCCCGACCCTTGATGCCTGCTGCATATTTGGAGTTTATACGTTCTCCCCGTGGTGAAGTGGATTTTTCCTCCAGTTTTTCCCTCCAAATTTCGAAATATGCGTTTGGGGTATTTTTGCCTGCTATAAATGTCCGCACGAAAAGCCGCTTCGTTGAGCTATCATCTGTGGCCAGGCCGCTTCTGAAAAAGAGCTACATAGCTCAGTGGGACCTTAGGGGCCGTCCATAAATGACGTCACGAGATTTTGGACGATTTTTGACCCCCCCTCCTTCGGCACACGGCGTCACAAAAAGTCAGACCCCCCCTCAAATATGACGTCACAAAACTCTGTAGTGTGTATTTAATGTGGCGCTGCACTCTGATGTAGTCAGAGAAAACATTTATTAAAAAGTCTATTTAATTAAGTAGAACGTGTTGTCTATATTTATTTAAAAGTTGCGCATTTTGATGTGACGTCACATTTCTCAACACCCCCCCCCCCTCGTCACACATCGTCACAAATGTCTGACACCCCCCCCCCACCCCAGGTGCGTGACGTCATTTATAGACGGCCCCTTACCTGGTAAGCTCGTTTATTTTCGTTTGAACATCTGTGAATGAGAGCTTCCACAACCTTATTGAGTTCCTTCCAGCTTCAATCAAATGTCTGTGTCCATGTCTATCTGCCGAGGCGGGGCACATTCCAGGCCACCGGACCAGGGGGGCACAGATGCCGTGACAAAGCACCCACAGTGGAACGTAGGCATTGTCCCACGAGGATGTTACCGTCATTGTTCACGGGACTTTAATAGGATCTGAGTCAACCTCAGGGTGACTCTGTAGCAGGCGGGGGGGGGTTAATTTGCTGACGAACAGAGTGAGCGAGCAATGACGTACTGAGTGAGTGAGCTATGGACGTACCAGTGGTAAAGGCTGTGGGAACATATCTTGAGAAGCCTGAAATGACGTTTGGAGCTGACTTGAGCCATATCCTTGGTACGCAGAGCTGTTAGCGAAAGCCTGCTAGAAGAAAAAAAATGACGTCACAAAACACAGTTACATTGCACATGACAAATCCGGTTCTTTATTTCATTACACACTTAGTTAGCATTCTAGCCCAAAGGGATGAGTGCTGTTGGTGAGCACCTATTGAGGCCAGCACGGTACACGATGGGGTAGGTGACCATACAAGGCCGGCTTCGTGTGGTCAGCACCAAACCCCCTTTGTCTTCCTTTGTGCTGATGTTCAGATGTTGCACAAGGTGCTCATTTCGGGTTGAGTTAACCCAAAAGAATCCCAGGTCACGCTTGGATATCACTTGCATTAATGCTGTCCATGACAAAGAAACACGTCCAGGCTGCCGGGGATCTCACAGCAATCCACTAATCACACTCCCAGCCATACACAACCACGTACTCGCACACACAAGGACAAGCATTCCCCCCGTATAGAATCTAACAGACTGTTGGGGCCGAGTGCTGTGAGCGAGCACTTATGAAGACCGGCACGGCGCATGAGGGGGGGGTGGGTGGCCAGCACCACCGCTGGCAGGAATCAACCTGGGGTCGCTGTGTTTGCAGCGCAATGGGCTAACCCCTTACGTTACCGTTTCACACACGGGGGGGGGCAAGACCCACCTGGTCTGAGATGAGGTCATCTGTTTGACGAACCGACACGGAGTCCAGAGAGGGCGGAGGCTGCGACATGAAGAGCGCAGGGTCCAGGGCTCCATGAGACAGCTGTGGGCACACAGCGGAGTCACATCACCCTCCTCATTGTCCACCCACAGGGTCACCACGCACCGTCTATCCCGCACCTCCGATGAGCACGGTTGGCTATGTATGGTGCGAAAGAAGTTCAACGTATATACATACGTACAGCAGCAGCAACCACGCGGTTGCACGTGACATTGGAATTGAGGGTTTACAGGGGCTGCATTGAACGGCTAGCATTGAGCGCATTGTGAACCTCAGGGCGCGTTGATACTAATACACTAATACACAACGTGAAATGGATGCCTTAACACAAAATACACTGACACACAAAGCAAAACGAATGCCTTCCTCACACAATACACAATCGTGCACGCTATGAGTCACATGCTTTACTCGCACCACATTATCTGATGAATATTCCCATCGAGTTGTGTGCGGGTAATTTTCCTTAATTGGCTAATTTTGTAGCATGAAGTGGGTGGACACAATGGCACTCTTTGCAAATGACTTTGTGGGACTTCGAATGTCCACTGCTGTACCATTGGGTGGACAGGGGCCGGGCGGATTTAATAAATGCGTCCATTGTTTTAAATGCCGCGCCATCAGACATCGCTGTGGTGTAATGGTTGGCAGACTGGACCCGCTGATTCTGATATTTATACCACAACAACAACAACAGTCACTAAGTGGCGGTGACATCACTACGGCGCCTGTAACAGGCCGGTTGCACTTTGAGGCCACGTGAAGTGTCGAAGGCTCGCTGCTGACAGAGGAGGTCACGGGACAGACCCAGGTGCCATGGGTTGACCGACGGAGACGACTGGCCGATGCACCAGCTGTGTCCCCTATTGCGACAACGCTGCATTTTAGCTGCCCGGCGCTCCGATCGTTGTTGTGAGCGACACTCGTCTGCCCTCTGTTGTTATTGAAGGGATGACTGCTTCGAACTGTCCAGTAGCATCTCTCACGAGCCTCCTCCATGTATATGCTGCATGTCTATACATGCATGGATATATACATAAACATCAAAGACTGTTAGTTAAATCTCTATTGGGATTTATTTATCCCTCTGCAGATTGATAAAATTAGTACAAATCTGTGAGAAGTCAACGGTGGTCATCCTATGGCCGGACTGCCCCCGCCATAGGAACGTGGAATGTCCACCGCGAGTCACACCAGAACGCTAGTTTTGATAACGAGTCTACCAAAGCACTCGGGAGAAGCTACAACTTAACGGTACAAACAATCAACTTGAGAAAATGTAATCCCTGCCCTGGGCCTATGCCAGGGAGCCAGGAGACCACCCGACCCATGGTGAATCGAGGGCAGAGGAGGGGGTCAATGGCGACCCAACCTTGAGGCCGCTAGTGTTGGCATGTTATTGATATTTCCCACAACAAACACATTGAATGTTTTTTTTATTACGATTATCATTCATAAAGTATGAAATTGTTTACAAGCAAAAATATTGAAATGTCAGCCAGGACCCCACCCCACCCACCTACCACCCGTCCCGGGCTACCCGTGTGCTCCACGTGACGCAAGCGGGCAGCGCTACGGAGAAGGCGAGCGAGACGCGGACTCAAACCCAGACCCTCGGCAGTACCGACTCTGTGCCCTCACTCAGAATTAGACTCCCCCCCCCACCCCCGAGTCACCTGGTAACCCCTAGTCACCTGGCAATCCCACGGAAAAATGACTGCCATGTTTGCTTGTGGTTTTCCAACAAGGTACGAGGACAGCCGAGAAATAAAATACCCGCTTGTCAATCGTATTTATTGTTAAATACTTCCTTATTCTGTCTTACTAAAGGTGATACGATTTACCCCGCGACTGCTCCACTTAAGTTACTGTACTACAGCAACTCTCGTGTCTGCTTTGACAATCTGCTGCTTATTGCCAAGGATCAATTGAACATCTCTTGTCGACCTCTTTGCTGACCTCTCAGCCCTGTGTGTTGAGACCTAACCTGCACGTGCATTGCTGCCACATGCCGACCCGAGGCACACTCATCTTAAGAGACTCCTTGTCTCAATTTAGCTTTCAGAGTCAATTAGTGGTAAATATTTAATAGGTTTATTCGCCCACGAGAAGGGAAAACACGACCCGCGAAGACAATAGGACCTGGAGACAATGTACCACGTGGCCTTATTCGCAAGGGGGTCTTTGCAAAGCAATCAATTGTTATCAACAGCACTGCTAATGTCCTGTCAACAGAGGCTAGAATAACGTTGGCGTCCCTCACACAACGAAACCCCCACCCACCCCCCAGCGCAAATTCACAGTTAAGCGATTCATTTTTTTTCAGGACATACTTCACACTTAAACGTGATGAGTTTCACAGTTACGCGCTCAAGAAAAAAAACCCAAACATAAAAACAAAATCCATGGTAAAAAAAATGTAAGTTGAAATCAATATTTTTCTGATGGCGTCGTCACCACCGTGTTATAGCAGTACCCAGTGTGGCAGGCTGGATGCTGCCATCGTCCTAGACGGCATCGTCACCACCACAACCACCGTGTTTATTGGCAGTGCCCAGTGTGGCCGGCTGGACACTGCATCGTCCTAGATGGCATCGTCACCACCACAACCACCGTGTGATGGCAGTGCCCAGTGTGGCAGGCTGGACACTGCCATCGTCCTAGATGGCATCGTCACCACCACAACCACCGTGTGATGGCAGTGCCCAGTGTGGCAGGCTGGATGCTGCCATCGTCCTAGATGGCATCGTCACCACTACAACCACCGTGTTATTGGCAGTGCCCAGCGAGGCAGGCTGGGCGCTGCCATCGTCGTGAATCTGCCTCCTTTGCTTGCGTCACGAGTGCAGCTGCAAGCAGCCCAAGGAAGCGTTTAAGAAGCGCCCTGAAATTACTCCTTATTTAGTAATATTGGAAGTAGTAATCTTTTTAATCCTAAAACTTTTTTCTTGTTATTAAACTCCTTATTAAGTAATTTTTGTAATGTTAATATTATTCTTAAGTATTGCATTTATACACATTTTGAAAAATGCAGGGATAAAATCATGGAATCATCGCTAACGTTTCTTCGGTGACGCACCCCCCCGCTCGTGACATACAGGTCGATGAGAAAATAGGCTTCATGCAGCGCGATTCGACTCAACGTGCTGTTTTTTTAGGAACGCGTGAGAGGGACGCCTGCAATGTCTCCCGCGCCTCCCTGCCTTCCCGCTCGTCTGCATTTCCTCGTGACTCCGAGTCGGTCCCTCTCTTGGAGAGCGAGCGAGTACGGTGCGGGAGCATTGCAACTTGAGATTATTATTATTATTCATCAGTCACTTTATTATTCAATCCCACACCTCCGAGTAGCACAGTTAGTGGCTACGTACGGTGTGCGAAAAAACATACAACATACATGGCCCAGCGTGACGTGGCCCAGTGGTAGCGTGTCCGCCACTTGTCGCGCAGGTTCACGGTTCGAATCCGTTAGGCCGCCCCGATTATTACCGAGCGTGTATTGACCGTGACACGACGCGCCGGTCTGCCTCACAGCTGATGTTAAGAATCTCCCTGATGTAGGTCGCAAGAGTAGGCCCACATGCGTGCATTGGTGTCATCGACCACATTTGAAAGGAATAAATAAATAAATAAAATCGACCACAAATTACGCACTTGGGATTGTTCGCAGCATACATATATCAACAACAACCGCCATTCGCCACTAAGTGGCGGTGACGTCACCACGACGCTTGTGCCAGGCCATGTGCACCTTGAGGCCACGTGAAGTGTCGAACGCCCGCTGGCAGGAGGTCACGGGGCAGACCCAGGTGCCACGGGTCGACTGACCGAGACGACTGGCTGATGCACCACCTGTGCCCCCTACTGTGCCAACTTGCTGTGCTTTAGCCACCCGGCGCTCCGCTCGTTGTTGTGAGCGTCGCTCCTCCACCCTCTATTGTTGTTGGAGGGCGACTACCACGAATCCACGAATTAAACATACATATATACGCACAGTAGCAGCAGCACTTCAGCGGGAATTAAGCGGTTGCTGTTGTTCAGCAAGTGGTGGGAGCGGGAATCGCACTGCGAGCCTCGTGCGGTAGCAACTCGAACCTCGGGGTCTCGAAGCGAAGCGAGATTTCCCGGACGAAAGCAGACGGTGGCGTCATGGCCACAATGATTCTAGTTTCTAAGAACCGCGCGCACCTGCAAACCCAAAGATTACCAAATATATGAATTAATCAGCAATCCCTTACTTATTTCCTTCCTGTTGATTTTCCATGCTGCAAAAGCGCCCGTGACAGAGTTAGAAAAGCTCCCTCCTCTCTTAAGACGTCATTTATTTAAAAAAAAAACAGTACGCAAAAATAACAATTCTGTACTTTTTGATAAATTCAACAAATTATTTGGTCATCTCTGTGCTGGCAGCGGTGCACAAAGCACAATAAACAAAAAACTCAGATGCGTCAATGTATGCATGCCGAACGTCTTTCGCGCCATACGTAGCCAACCGAGCTAACCGCAGGTACAGGAAATAACACCGTGGCCTTAGAAGTCAAACTATAAAACAGGCGACGTTTCGGGCAATGACCCTTGACGTATTTCAGCACCGTTTACCGTTTAATCCTGTTTCCTGTAAGTTCTGGCCCGTGGGTTTCGCCGCAAACAATTCGTGCTCCGTTTGGGTTTGCACATTCCCTCCCCCACGACTCCGAGGGTGCTTGGGCTGTGGCAAGGTCCTCCTAAAAGAGCTGCCGAGCTCAACGCGGCCTTAACACGGCCGGAGTAACGTTCGAGCGTGATGTTCCATGAAGAACAGGTCATTTTTCCACGCGTCGAAGATACTTTGACTCATCCAGTCAGTGAATCGTTTGTTAGGAATCCGCAAACGGTGTGACGCGGAAACAATCGTCAACACAGAGTAACGTACCCCCCCCCCATCACCCCCCCCCCCTCTTCACCCACCCCTCCCTTCAACCCCCAAGGATACGGACCAACGAGTCCGGCGAGATGATTCAACCGTGAAAATATGCAACCTTTGCCTCCGAGCAAACCGAAAGTAG